TAAATCTCGAAAGCAGTTTTCTGAACTGTCAGCCAAGTACGAAGCACGAGTGTGTTGAATAGAGGGGGGGTGGGGTGCAAGGGTGGGGAAGAGGCGATAATAAATGTAGGAGAGAAAGCGGTGACAGTTTGACAAAATTGCGTAACCACACCCGCTTTACATCCATCTAATTTCTAGCGTGAAAAGCCCCCTAAAAGTTCCCGCTGAAACTGCGTTGCTTTGGAGACTATAGTACGTATGATATTGTAACGTTTTTACGGTTAAAACACTAAGAAACTATAAAACTAACTAAACACTTAACTATTAATTATTTATATATCACTACTGTACTAGAGTCTATTTATTTGCACGTATATTTAGGTATTTTATTTCGCCGCGAGTACCAAAGCTTGACTAACTCTACAACGCTCTACACCGCTCTCGATCGTTCGATATCGCCACAATATGCATTTTTATGGGTCTCTGGTAATTACAAAAGCGCGAAATTCAAAATTAAACTACACAAGGAGAAAATGTAATTACTACTAAACTGGGAGTAATTTATGGAACAATGTCAATTTAGAAATTTGATAAATCGACGATAGGCGTAAAATCGAGCCAAACACGAATTTTGGTTCGTAATTAACCATCAAAATCATAAATAATCTGTTTGTGATAATGAATGTTTATGCTTGGGATCAGATTTTACATCCACACCACTACCAACCGAACAACAATGTAATTAAAAAAGCAACCATTGAACGGCGACTGATACAATTAATAAACGTAAACACACACATTTCCACTCAGTGGCGTACCTTTACCTTCCGCAATAATATATACATATACAAATATTCTATACGGGATGTAAAAACTTTTAGTTGAGCTTTCAGTGAAGTATATGTCTCTTAATTCTCATAGGATGTGGCAATAAGTAGGGTGGCCAGCGATATCTTCAGATCTAACCCCTCTCAATTATATTACGGGACTACGCCACTGTTTAAACTGGACTCATACATTAGTTGTCACTAATTTCAAATATTTCCTGGGCATTAATTTATTTTAATTATAATTACGTAACTGTGTTATATATCAAACACTAAATTAATTATCTGAAAGTTGATTAAATAATACTATTAACTGAAAAAAAATTATTAATATTTAAACCGAGGAACTTTATATTAAGCACCTGACACCAAGTAATTGTCCTATACGAGGTGTGAAAAATATCGTTTTTTGAAACAAATATTTATTTATTCGTCCACATTAATGTTGTCGCCTTCAAAACAGTCCCCATTGGATATTATGCACATGTGCCAGCTCTTCTTCCAATACTCGAAACACTTCTAAAACTCGATCTTTGGGATAGCCTTTAGTTCTTTCAGCGATGCGCTTTTAATGTCATCTATGCTTGCAAAACGACGGCCCTTTAAGGTTCTCTTTATTTTTGGGAATAGAAAAAAGTCAGACAGAGGCATGTCTGGCGAATATGGAGGCTGGGGCATCATTACAGTATTGTTTTTGGCCAAAAATTTAACAATTTTAGCACAAATTTTGCTGCCACGCGTTTCATAACCAAAACATTCGAAAAAATTTCATGGGATGAGCCAATCGATATACCAACATCATCAGCGACTTTTCTGATGGTTTATATCCATTTCTTCCACTTTTTTCATGTTTTTATCGGTTGTTAATGCGCTTGTGCGTTCGGGGCGTTCGTCATCTTCAACGTCTTCACGGCCATCTTGGAAACTCTTATACCACTTGTAAACTCTTGTTTGACTTATAGCAGACTCACTATAGGCCTTTGTTAACATTTCACAAAATTTATTTCATTTTTTAAGCAAAATTGGATACAAATTCTTTGATCCATTTCTTTTAACGAACGAAAAATCGCCGAGCTCATAAAACACGTCTAACCTTAGCGGCTGCCACAGACAAAGTAAACAATGAAAACAGCTAAAGTTTTTTATCATACTTAGGGGGCATGTATACCAACATAATAAAGAAAATTTTATGACAACCGGACCCTCCGAACCCGCGAAATTTAACAATTCCCGTTATTTTCTGAACAAACCTCGTATATATAGTCTCAGATATGATAATATTAATAATACCTAATAATATTAGTATCCATATGTAAGAGCAAAGTGCCTGGCTGGGGTAATTACTTTTGGTGTCATGCTTCCATCAAGTAATTATTAATCAGAATATCGAGATTATTGATTTTTGCTTAGGCAAAGCTCCTCTGATTACCAAGAACTCAGATCATCCTACTTTATATTGCTGGAGTAGATAACGACACTTTTATATCTTTATTTCTTTCGTAGAACATGATAATTCGTTTCGCAACTCATTTTAAGATTTTTAATAACACTGCATAAAGAAATGTCACTGTCACTATATTTTAAACAGCTTATTGGAGTATCCACACTTGAAATGTTGTTCAGGTCATTTAATTAAAATACAATTAATTTTGACTTAATAAATAAAAAAGAAAGGAAATAAAGCAGGGAGGAAAGTAAACGTATAATGGGTAGAAAATGGCATCTGAGAAAAGTTTTAAGAATGATCATCCAACACTCAATTTATCATTATTTTTTTTGGGGCTCTGGAAATCTTTTGTAAGTAGAAAATTACCGTGAGGAGTTGGAAAAATTGCCAAACTTTATTTTATTTATCGAACCCCTTTTTTTCACGTCTTATTTCAATTATACAATGATTTTTTGGATTTGTTATTCAAAAAAACAATATTTGAATCATAATTTAATTAATATTATATTTACAGACATGTTTTAAAGATATAAATTATAAATTTCAGAGATATCAAAAAAAAATTGCGTCGAGCAGTTTACTACAATAATTTTAGTTGGTATTGATTTAAATTTGAAAGTAATTAAAATTCAAAGCGCATGTAAACATATCCCTTTTAAATTAAAATTCTTCAATAATTGACAGTCTGTCCTAAAACGTTTAACTTTTTTAACTGAATCTACGCTTAATTAAGTTTTCAAATAAAAATGCACAATTTAAATTTTTATAGCATAAATGTTCATTCAAAAAAAAATTTGAGCTTTTGGCAATTTAAAACGTATATATAGTGAAACCGCGAGTAGGTACTAAAATGCATACATATGCAACTTCACTTCAGATAATTGCACTATCAAATATTCACAAATTACCATTTTACAGTTGCCACGGAATTTGTTTGTTTTTCTGGACGCCAAAACACAACAGCTTGTTTGCAATTCGATGCGCAAATTTCTAAAAACACTTTAGGTAATAGCTAAATCATTATCTTTTTATGATTGGTTAGTTTTATTATTTACCTATTTACTAACTGACGAAGTATAATAATTATTCATATTAATTTATTCTGCAGTTGGTACACTTGTCAGCATTCTTTGATAAATATGTGGAGTAAACACTGATGTCGCAACACTGCAAAAAATTCCCAACAATGCGTTTGTAGCGCCATCTATCCACAGATTATTATAATATTTTGTTGGGTAGCTTGGGACCTATAATAGTCAAACTTTGGAGTCAAAGGCATATATTTTTTTCAAATGGCTAGGTCTCTTATTGCCCCTAGCTTTTTAATTTGTAACCTATTTCAGTAATCTTGCAGACACATAATTTCTATGAAAAAAAAACTTGTGGCGCCATCTCTTTTCCACGCAATAAACTAAAATGACAATGTATAGATTTCTGTATTTTTTTTTGTGGTCAAATCAAATGTCAAATGCGCGTGGTTGCTGTTAATTAAACGGCTTTTTTAAATGTTGTATTCTTCGTTTGAAAAATGTGTTGACACAACCAATCTAATGGACCCATATAAATACAAGTGAACTAATGGTAATTGGGCGGAATGGAGCAAGAAGAAGTGTTAAGTGAAACTTTGACGGGGTTATTGAAAATAACGGAAGAATTTACATCTATAGTAAGGTATGGAATGTCAATGCCCTGTTCTGTGTTCTTTGTTGGATTATTTATAACGGATCTTTCCCGTGTTTCGGTTTTAACACTTACGGTTTGCCGAGTTCGTGCCATTTAAATTTTGACATTCTAGAATTGTGTCCAGGCTCTGACTTTTGCAATTATGTTGTTACAAAATCATATTGCACCAGTCCCGGCCTGAACACGTTTCCATTAACAACACAGGAAGTACGATTTTATTATTTTTTATCCCAAGATGGTATCACTGTTGAATTTTTGTATTTTTGTTTATTGTATTGATACCTGCATTCTTACTTTGACATTTGAATACTAATAATTGAGGTTATCTATTTGTCAGTTTATTTTATGAAAATATTACAATAAATGTAATTTTTGTGTATAAAAATAAAAAAATTGTCTTTCGTGCAATAAGCTTGAATATATTTTGAAATTTAATAAAACATTTGTAGTTTAAAAAATCTGTGTTTAACTTATTTTTTTTAGTGAAGATGAGCTTAATAAACTCATGTGTGACTGTTTGTCCGATACAAAATTAATTATTGATTGGATGGACACATCTGCTTTTGAGAAAATAAGACAAAGCCTTATTTATTTTTGGAATCTAAAGGAAATGGATAAAAAACTTCTCGATAAACATAAAATGTAAAATAAGATATAAAGTATCATTTTTCATACTAATTATGTTATTTTTTAGTACAACGCATAACTTTTTTAAAAAAATGAACTTACAAAAGGCGACCATATTGCAAAATCAAAACAAAGCACTAAAAGAGAAAATAAAGAAAATAAAAAATGAATCGGAAGCTCTACAACAGGAATTGAAAAGAGAATCGGATTTACTGAAGGAACAAACAAAAATTAAATTGTAATTTATGTTTTTGTAATAAAATTAACACAAAAAGTTCCACCTTGACATTTGAAAACAAATAATTGAGGTTATGTATCTGTCAGTTACCTAACCTCAGTTGTTTTGTTAAATTGTCATAGTGAGGCTTTTGGGTGACAATAAAATTTATTTTGTAAATATTACATGTTTTATTTTTAAAGTTACATTCAAATATAAATTATTTCAATGATTTCTTAATGCAATTAAATAACTGATTAATATTTTCTTCAGTAACTACAATACTTTCTTCCAACTTAATTTTCTCTTGTTTAAGCAAGGATAATTTTTGTTCTGCCTGTACTTTCAAATCTATAAATTCCTTCAAAATAACTCCTTTCTGTTCATTGACTGACTTAATTTTATTTATTTTCATTTCTATTTGGTTTTTTGTTACTTGAATTCGGTCAGTAATGCTTCTAATTTCTTCAACAATACCTTCTTTCTCCAAAAAAACATGTTTAATATTTTGCTGAGAGTTATTTTGCCTGTTGATTAGTTTGCTGTATTGGTGTTCCAAAATCATTTTTTCCTTTTTACGTGCATTCGTTTGTATATCCAATTGAGTCAGCATTCTATTAACTAAAATTTATTTGTAGTTCTTAAAACCCTTTGAAATAATAAATACGTACGTTGTTCGAGTTTTTTCAAATCGTTTTCAATATCACTGCTCATTTTAAAATTTGTAAGCAAAGAAAGAATTCTACTTTTAGAATTATTCGACAAGATTAGGTTTTTAAAGATGGCGCTGGCAGTTACAACGTTTTTTATTGGGAGCATGCGTGTTCATCAGGGTCCAGCAGTGTTGCCAATGCAGAGCTAAATTCCCTAAATCTACGTATTTTGTTTTACGTGGACTTCTAAACTTTGTCGAATTGTGGGTGTGTTTTAAAAGATTTGTTGATAATTTATATTGCATTTATGCGATTTCATGTGGGTCATAATTCTCAAGGATTTTTTTGTAAAAACCTTGCATAATTCTCTCATAAAATATTTATTATTTGCTTCATTTAGTTTAAAAAATCTATTATCATTATTATAATTATCAACGCTTATATTCGATTTGTTTCGTGCGTTTTGTATTTTAGTTCTTAATTTGAGGAAAACGGTTGGGAAGTTTGGCAACCCTGAACCCTAGCATTATCAACAACCATTTATAATTCAGCATCCTTCGACGCCATTGTGCCGACTAATCGTGTTTTTCAATTTATTTGCCCGCATTAACTGAAGTTATTAGGTAAGTTTTGTTTATAATTGATGTAGTTATTCGCCAAACTTAATTTTTACGAATTTGTCGGCTTTCATTTGTTGTGCCGGCATACTAGATCGAGATTATATGATTGATATATCTGGAGATATTTTAAGGGTAAAACTTTTTAATTAAGTGCTTTCTGTATGTATTATGTATTTTGTAAGAGTTAATTCAGTTAATATGGTGGTTTTACTTTGTTTGAGGGAGATGCGCCTTAACCGTGGCATGTTATCGAAAAAGCATCAAATGTCGTCCGTATTTTTATTTAATTTAGCGTTACCTAGCAACTTCTGTTTGCCACAAATGTACATCAAATATTACAATATCGTTCAATTTGTCTGTTGTATTGGTCGGTGTTTTTAATAATCGATACGAAACCAGTTCGACATGCAACACATTTTATATTATTGTCTATAATTTAACCCAGCCATTTTGTTCGGTTTTCCAGGAATGTTCATTTAATATTTATGGTGCACTTTGCACTCACCTGGACAAATCGCAATGTTTCCCGCGCAATTATACCCTTTCCTTGGTTAAAGTATATTTCCTTTGTTTCTAAGTTAAAATTAAAACGTGTTCTGGTAATTTTGTTTAAAATATAAACTGTACTTTAAATTTTAATTCAATTGGGTTGGTATCATTGGTAAATTAACAAAACCCTTTCATAAACCAATTTTTTAACATTCGTGTAATTATTTGCGTTTTTATCGCCTGACCACTTCCTAATTTGATTAAAAAACAAACAATCAATTTTATAAATTGCCGAATTCCCCATATAGCCACCACCTACTTTAATCGATTGATTTTTTCAACACAAAGTACTTTGTTTCGGTAGTTTGTATACCTGTAACAATATTTGCTTTGTTGCCTGGTAAAACACACGTCAATCAGGATTATTAATTAAGTTAAACATATTTATGATTAACGAATTGAACGTTTGTTATTTAATTTGTATTTTTTAATGGTTTTCGATATTTGAATTGACAATTTGGGACACCTATATTTTCTGTTTTGTGGGGGTGGGTGGATAGATTTCTGGGCCGGACATAACCGATAATCATTTCTGGAAACGGGTGAATAAATGATGAGCGGTCACATTAAAAATTGACGATCGCGTTGGGTTGTGACACACCGTTGCCAGGCGACAGAAAAAAAAGTGACACGCGATACAATCGTCAACTTGAAGAGTAGGTATCTCGAAACAAAAGTAGAAATAGATTTGGAAACGAAGTTAATGATTAAAATAAACATAACACAAATTTTATTTTTTAATAATTATTTAATACAGCATGTCTACTGTGCTCTTAAATATCTAGAACGTTTTGGCACTTATTGTAATAATATACTTTACAAATTACAATGACAAACAACACTAAAAGTTCAACTAGAAGAGTAGATATCACTCTACTCTATTATTGAACCCACTTTACATTGTAATTCTATTTTTGATCGAATTCTATAAATAGGTGCTTGTGTAGGGAATTTCACAGAAATACACGATCTAAAAAATAATTTAATATGTGGGTTATTTTTTTTAAGTTTAAAAAAATAGCTATGATTTTCAAAATTAAATAAGTCCCACCACGTGACCACGTACGGAACGCAGTCTTTTGAAAATTTGGCATTTAAGGCTTTTCAGGTTGTATCTGTCAAAGTATAGTCAACGAAAGAAATAACATTATGTTTAGGCGTTAAAAATGTATAAATCTTTATAACATTAGAATAACAATGGATGGTTTAAGAATGTAAGAATATAAATACTGCATTTAATGAAATTCTAAAGTGTATGGTGCCAAATAAGTAATATTTTTGTGCATTTGGTCCAAATATCTGGTTTTCTCCATAAAATAATTTTAACTAAACAGCATTTATTTAAAAAATCTAGCTTCTCTATTATGGAATAAGAATATCTGTATTAAAGGTGGGTTAATATATTATAACAAAAATATCATCTAATTTTGTAATTTTAAGGTTAGAAAAATTTATTTTGACCAAAATAAATAAGTATTTTGGATTATTTAAAAGACTGTATAGTATGGTATTTAAAAATGTGGTAGTTTTTCTTATCCAGCTTAAAGTGTACCTACATAAAGTTTTGTCAATACAAATAGTTAAAAAGCTTTGACTGAATTTGATCTACATCGAAAAATCATTATAACTTTAAAAATTTTAATAAATCACATGTCATGGAAGTATTAAATATTTTCACATTGCAAGTTTCTCTAAAAATTGTTTGTTTTCTTATAATCTAACTTAAAGTAAGTATGCCGAGAGGTATGCACAAGTTTTGTCTTTAGAAGTATAAAAGCTTCAATTTAATTTGAACTATATTCAACAATTATTTAGTATACCTATATTTATTTATGACCATATTAACACACTCTTTCAAATAATCCACTTATTTATTTTGGTCAAAATAGATTTTTCTAACATTAAAATACAAAATTAGATGATATTTTTTGTTCTAATACATTAACCTACCTTTGATACAGATATTCTTATTTCATAATAGAGAAGTTAGATTTTTTAATAAATGCTGTTTAGTTAAAACTATTTTATGAATAAATGTAGACCAATGCACAAAAATATCACTTATATTGCACCTTACACTTTGGAATTTCATTAAATGCAGTATTAATATTCCAAAATTCTTAAACCAACCATTGTTATTGGGATACTATAAAGATTTATTAACTTTTAACGCTTAAACATAAGCGTTAACACTATAAATATTATTTCTTTCATTGACTATACTTTGACAGATACATAACCTGAAAAGCCTTAAATGCCAAATTTTCAAAAGACTGCGTTCCGTACGTGGTCACGTGGTGGGACTTTGAGGTGTGGAGCATAGTACATTAATATTTTTAATTTTTGTTTTTTTAATATAATATAATTTTTTACATTTATTACTTTACTTTAAATGAGGTATTTTTATTAAAAATAGTACAATACTCCTTTAAATTGATAATTAACACCGAATGAAATAATGATAAAACTTAAACCAAAGGAAAATTAAATATTAGTTAAAAAATCGTGGATACTTAAAAAAATCAGATTTAATTTAATAAGATAAATATTACCAAAAAAACTGATATTTTTATAAAAAAATTATTGCAAAATCGTATACAGAAGAAAAATCGAACAAAATTGTTTTTATTACAGCGCCATTTATTACAAATATGAAAAAATGTTTTAGACAAAATGTGATATAATTTATTTAAAATTTTACGTTGATACCAAAATAAATATTTCACAGTAGATACTTTCTTTAATACAAAATATAGTTAACAATTTGTATAGACAAAAATCTAATGCATGATGATTCCTTATAAAAAGTTAAATTTCATAAATCTTGGTAAGAATGTATTTCATTTCCATTTTTGCCGGCTGTAATTTCCCAGTTTGATGTCTTGTGTTTTTTATATGGTTAACTGAAATTGTTATAAAATCCCAGAAGAAAAACCGGTTTTTAACATAATAGAAACTCATTATGGCATATAAGTATGCACAGTATTTTTTATTCACAATTAGTTGGGTATTAATCTACTTTTTTTCAACCTTGTAATAAAAACATATTTACTACGTAATAATAAATTAATTAACAATAAATATATTAGTGTTGGGTATTTATTTTTATTTACCAGCATTTTTGTCAATAGCAAAATTTCCTGATTGGATGAAAAGTTATTAATATGCAAAGAAAACTAAAATTGCGGTCAGGATTTAACGCCCTGTTGCAGCATTGTAATTTGCTAGCAGAATCGGATAATTTAAGTCAAAAGGACCACAATAAAGGACCTGCTAGATGAGGCCCAGGATAATTACAATATCAAACTCCTCTAAAGCTATTCATATACAGCATCTGCAATTTACTGCCTTTATTGAAGCATTGAAGCTAAATTTATTAGTATTATTTAAAAATATGACTGAAAAACTATTAAATAATTTTATTGTCAAGTATAAAACTTCTTACATAATATACCATCATTATTGATTGATGAATTTTGATACCACTATAATATATTTCATGTAATTTGAGTTTAATGGAAGTCAAAAACAATAACACTTATTTTGGTAATAATATTTCCCAAAAACATTAGCGTTTTCATTGCTTTTAATAAATTATTAAACATCAATTCCTAGAGTAAACGATAATCAATATTTTTTTCATTTAATGCACTGGGGTCAAACTAAAACCAATATCTTCAGTTTTATTATGTAGTTGTGTATTATTTAAATATAAAGAATAAAATAGTTAAAGTTTAAAAATATTTTGTTTTACGGTATTATTATTTATTTGGTTATTATTTTCTTAATATAATACTCATTAAAAATCGTACTTCTAGATTTATTTGGCCATTAAGCCAAAGCCATTAAGATGCTTAAATTTCCTTAATCTAGGATTTTTCTTTGTTTTTTGCATTGTTGTCAAATTTCTTTAAAAATCCCAGAATTGGGGATTTTTCAAAACCTTCAGAATACCAAATTTCCAAAAATTATCAGAACCTGGAATACCTTCAACCTGCAATATTTAGCGGTGTTGCCAAATTTATATATACTTTTTATTGCCATTTTAATTTTTTTATACTTTTTTGACTTTTTTTGAAGTTCCCAGAACCTAGAAATTGTTGGCGACGTTGCCAGTTTTATGGGTGTTTGCGACGTTGCCAAATTTCACAAAATTTACAAAATCGGTGATTTTTGTTTTTTTTTGTCTTTTTAATTTTTTAATTTTCAAACATTCCTGGAACAAAATAATTCGACGTTGCCAAACTTCATAAAATCTCAAAAAATCGTTGATTTTTGTTTTTTGCGGCGTTGTCAAATTTCTAAAAAATCCCATAAATTGGGAATTTTTTTAATCTCGGAATTTTTCAAAGTCTAGAATATATATGTATATATAGTGTATATGTATGTATAATTATTAATACTAAATACCATTTTTTATACCCCAATTAGGATTAAATTAATTAATTGACAAAATAATGTTTTTTTACCTTTAATGAGGTATTTTTATTAAAAGTATTACAATAATCCTTTAAACTAAAGAATTTAATGCTGGCAGGTAAAAAGTGACCATGGTGCGCAATTGATAATTATCACCGAATGAAATGACGTATAAAACTTAAACCAAAGGAAACTTAAATATTAGTTAAAAAATCGTGGGTACTTAAAAAATCAGATTTAATTTAATAAGATAATTATTACAAAAAAAGTGATATTTTTATAGAAAAATTATTGCAGAATCGTATAAGAAGAAAAATTAAACAAAATTGATTTTTTTTATTACAGCGCCATCTATTAAAAATATGAAAAAATGTTTTATACAAAATCTACCTACTTTTACATAATTGGGAATTTTTTGAAATCTTTTCCGATATTTTCGCACTTTTTTAAGATACCTTCATCCATTTAAAAAAAATGTTAAACAAATAAACAACAATTTTTTTAGAATATGAAAAAATGTTTTGGACAAAATCTACCTACTTTTACATAATTGGGAATTTTTTGAAATCTTTTCCGATATTTTCGCACTTTTTTAAGATACCTTCATCCATTTAAAAAAAATGTTAAACAAATAAACAACAATTTTTTTAGAAGTTTCCATAATAAAATCTATAGATTTATAGTTATATATAACTGATAATATATAACATTGTTGGTAATATTTAATTACGAATCCCATTATTAATAATGTACTGTAATGTATAATTTATGCCATCCACGTAGTAAAAAAAAAATATTGATGACATAGAATTAAGAAGAAATAGATAGGGTGGTTGTTTAGCGTGAGACAACAACCGCTGTTCAGTAATTGTTTTTAGTTAATTATTTAGGGATTATCGATAAGTTAATAAAGAAGTTCTATAAAGCCGCTTATAACGTGCAATTTAGAACCTCTCTATTATTTATGCAATTGATAGTTTCCCTAATAGCACAAAACGGTAAAAAGAAGTTTCCTATGAAATTATTAAAATATTAAATTTGTGACGTGTACCGTATCTTTATAATTTATTTAACGAGTTTATCTTTAATTGTTAATTCGTTTATAACGAGTTCTAATGCCAGTTGACATACTTTTTATGTTATTTAATTATTTATAAATAATACTTTACATTAATTGTTTTTATGTCGATAATTTTTATTTATGAGGATTTTTATTAAAACTTTTATATCAGTAGATAGACCAGGGTTTGTAAGAAAAATTTTTCTAAAAAAAAATACTTAATATTTTTAGCAATCTTAAAATGGTGTATTGTAATTATACCTACTATACAATTCATTTCCGCAATCGGTACATACACAGTAAAAAAAATCAACTCTAAGCAACACTAATTAGAGTTCACACAGGTCCACACTAAATAGTGTTGTTTTATAACACTACAATTAGAGTTAATTTGTAGTGTAATTTTCCCCAAGTAAGCAAGTATGATTTAACACTATAGCACTGAGGATAAAGTAATTTTACACTGTATTAAAAAGTGTTAATTTACCTAAAATCGTGTACTTCTACACTTCCTGGGTAAAATCCCACTTTAGTTCAGTGTAACTTTAGAAAAGTTCTAATTTTAGAAAGGTACTTTTACTCTTTTAGTGCAAACTTCTAGTGTAAATTAACACTATTATTTGAGTAAAACCTATTGGTGGTAGTGAATAAAACGAAAAGGTAAATAAAGAAAAACATTTGGTGCCTTTTAAAATATAATTTTATATTTGAGTCGTATGGATGACTTAATCAAAATGGTCCCTTAAAACGTAAAAGTTTTAGATCAATGCAATGTTTTACTGGCTGTCAACTTGTAAGCAATGAATTATCTTGAGAATTCATCAGTAATCCATTTTTCTGTTATAAAAAATGTTCCATAATATTAATAAAAATGTAGGTATAGGTTAATATAACAACCATTACGCTTGAAAATAAAAAGTAAATCAAGTGTGTATGTATTTATATTATTAATGTTACTAGTACCCGACCTACTGCCGTAAATTATTGAGATATAATATAGGTCGGGTATGGACATCCTTTTAACATATTGGTATTTATTGAGTATTAAGGCTTAAAGAAAAAGGAAGTATAATACTGTCCTCTTATGTATTCACCGTAATTAAAATCTAACTGAACAAAAATGCCACACTTCCACAACGCGGTATCTCCGGATATGCACTGCGTAGGTAGATAGGTACCAACCAAACTTTTTAAAACGTATTTCGGTTGTTACCAGTTTTTTCAGTCTATTTTGCCACTATTGGTGGAATTTAACTTTAATTGTGATACAATGTGCAATAGTAGTGTAATAATGTTCATATTCATTAAATGTGTTTAATAAAGTTAATAAACACTAAATGCTACCTAGTGTATTTTGTAGTGTAACTTTTACACTTACAAATGAACTCTTATATTTTTACCCCTACATTGTATTATGATTTTGTATTGATTTGTAGTTTTACAAAAAAATTTAATAGTTTTATTGATTATCTTAGTAAAATTAAATTCAATTCTACCGTAAACTATTATTTACTATATTATTCTGAAAAGTTCAACCATTAATAAACAGTAAGTAAGAAAATAGTTTTTGTTTTGTTTCGTATTTTTTTGAAACTAAATGTAAACTGTTGTATACTTGTATAACTACAAGAATTAACAATACAGATGAAAAAAAATTGTCGTAGTAAATTCAACAGATAGCCATGAAATCTTTCGATGGGCACGTATTACCTACCCGTTAGTAGTCATTTGTTTGTATTTGATAAGTTGCCATGACGACCCCGTTCAACAATCAATTGTTGCCACGTAAAGCCAAATGGGGTGGTGTGTGTATGGGGGGGATATTTTTCACTGATAAGCCGACAAACCGGTGACCAATGGTCAGTTCTTTCCTGCAATTCGACAGGTGAATAGCTACATCAGAAAAAGATACCAAAATACACTAAGGTACAATATTTGTGATTGTGCTTTGTTAGATTTAACATTTTTATCGTATAAGATTGTCGTTAATTTGTTGTTTGGTTTATTTTAGAACAAACTAAAGCGAGGGAAAGGCTACTAGCGATCTCGCTTATTTTAACCAGGGTAAGTTAGTTTTTTTTATTATTAAATTTAATAAATAAAAATTCTATATATATGTAACAATTCTGTTAAAATAATGGAATCAAAAAGTAGGGGATATTTTTCAGAAGGCTGGCTGATATATTGACTATTCAGAAGCTCTTCCTTTATATTTAGTATGTCATAAATTCAATGTTACACCCATACCTTCAAAAAGGTGCGTCACATGTCTGGAGTAAAATAGGTTACAATATATCTTGCGATTATAATTATTTTAACATTTTTTGTAGCATTTAATTTTTAAAATGTATAAACAAATGTTATAATAATATTGTGGTAGTCTACTTTGAACAGTTTAAAAATATAACCATAGATGTCGCCAAACGTATTATTACAGTTGTGAATCTAAGTAGCTGACGAAAAATTGTTATTTATCCGTTATATAGTTTTCGGAGAAAATTAAACAGTATTTTGTTATGAGAACACAGATAATATAATAAATATACTGTTCCAGACCGGGCCAGTCACTTTTTCAAACAATTTCCGAAATATCTGTGCTTTCTAAATTTGAATGCAAGGGAAGTGACGAGTATACCAGGGTACGAATTAAATACATAATTTATTGGAAAATATAAGATTTATTGCAACTTTGAGCATATTATACTTTAAATATCTTAAAATTAAATAATACCACACATCAGTGGCGGCTGGTGGATTTTGGGTATACCGATATCTCAATTATTAGATATGGGGATATGAGTTTTTAATGACATTAAATAAACAAGTTCTACGCATTCTGATGAATGGGCTACAAATTTGAGATTATAATTCGGAATTAAGTATTTTACTGATATTTTTTATTAGTGGATGCTACTTATCAACAAATCACATATAGCCTTATATAAATTACAATGAAATATATATACGTAAGAAAATAACTACTCACCGCAGTACTGAAATTTTGACTGGAACTATACGTGCATTCACCACAACTTCGCCGCTTGCATTGTTTGTCGTGCAAAGGGCGGGCTCTGTAGGTAATTTTTTACCAACACTTAACTTCAATATTTCGCAGGAATTTTGAATTTTGACATTGGACACAGAACTGACGGGTAAAAGTTAGTACAAAGATTATCAATTTTTTAAAATTGCTATTATTCGAATCTATGATAAAATATGAAGAATGCATTATTTAATGTTTTATAGTTTGTAGTGAAATTTGAAAGTTTAAGATAAATTGAATATATTTTAAAATAAAATCACTCAAATATTTGATTCAGGAGTTGTGACATATTTATTATGTTTTTCAACAAACGTGCTTTTGAAAAAATACATTAAAATTGGGTGGACAAGTTAAAAAAACCTGGATCTTTTGTAATATACTAAAATATTTACAAAAAATATTAAAATACCTACTCTATTGACTGATGACATCAAGTTGTCCAACTTTTGTAGAATCACCCATATATCAACACTTCAAATTTGTATAATAACTCTATACTTGTCCGCACCGTGTCTAATAGGAATATTCAAAATTTTATTTTGACACACTGTGCGAAGGCAAGTAGTAGTAGGCCGCGTTCATGGCACACCGCTTACTAGAATCAGTCCGCTATATCCTAAATACAGAGAGCACGTTTTATTTTTGTTAAGTGATCGTTTTTGGTGTCTAGTTTGTTATACTGGGTTTTAATTTTTTGCTTTCTGTAAGTAATTTTTTGTTTTAAAAACATTTATTAATATTATTAATTAACAAAGAAATAGGTAGGCTATGATGAAATATAACCTCTAATATAGGAACTTCGATCTTTGGACTATTAGGATATTTATGAAATGGTCCCGCCAAAACCAATAATTTAATTTTTTTATAAAAATTTGTGTGACGTATTTAAACAGTGATAAGTTTTGTTTGTTTTGTGATAATACTAAATCTGAACAAATACGCATTATTTAAATAAATATTGTGGAATGCATTATGAGGACCATTTTTTATTTTAAACATTTGTTTCGTAAAATTCATACTAACTGAAATATTTCAAAGTTACAAGTTAAATGACTAACCCTGTATATTAAATACTATTTTCATGTAACGCTTGTACTTGAACTCTGACGATGCAACTTGCAAGACCAGTTCAATTTTTATTTTATACAAGTACACTTAAGTTCATTACCTTCGAATACCTACATAGTTGTAGAATAGCTTGGATTCTTTGGTTCTTCTGCTGAATTAGAAACTTGTGTTATGTAGACTTAAAATGGTATTTTAAAAATAATCAGAGAAAGTTAAGTGCATCCTGGGAGATATAGGTATTTTAGAAAACTATTTAAACCACAAAAAGATTTTTAAATTTTAATATTTATTTAGACCTCGACTATACCAAAGAAAGTAAAGCAAAACGAAAAGAAAAATGAGGCTTTTGTTCTGTAGATTCATTGTAAACATGCCTTAAGCCATATCCAGTTTCCTCTGTTTGCGATATTGTGGAAAACTCGTTTTTTGACAAGCAAGTATTAAAATTCGTATATATTTTGTCCTAATTAAACTAAAACAAAAAATAAATTATACACTTCCATAGTTTTTCCTCATAGCTAATTTATTAGGTCGATATTACGTGGGAGTAAAATGCATCTGAAATTGAGAAATTCTTTTACAAGGCGTCGAACCGTAAAAATAGATCAGTTTTATTTATACCAAACATTATTGAAGAATTTAAAACATTATGCGTACATTTTGTTCAAGTTTTAGGTGCATTGTAATTCATTTCAACTAAGTTTAAGAAAATTACAAAATATATTTTACAAGACAGATATACCTATTTTGGGTAGTATCAATGTCGGGCAATTTGGTGTATTGGAACACACCAAAAACGAAAGATACCTGAGCTTATGTACTGTCCACCTAAGTCAACCGAGGCGAGATGTATGAACATCACGTGATTGCCGCAATCTATGCATTTCACAAAACATTATAGCAAATCAAATTACAAACGACGTTTGTAAATCTGAGATGCCTTTTATTGGAAACTGTCAAACTGTTTAGTATCTGACAAAAACAAAAACATTGTAAAACTGGAACCTGTTTAGTACTTTGGCTATAACAAAATGTAATAATTTTACAAACATTTTTAACAGTTTATAGGAAATTACCTAATTTTCGAAAGTATATGTATACATGTATATTAAATTAAAGGCAAAAAAGGATGTTGCACAAACTTAAGAATTTACCTACTTCCATAACGTGGTTAATATTGATTGAATAATAAAAGTTAGAGATTTTTTTCTAATACAGGGTGTTTTACATTGATTTAAATGGAATATTACGGAATGTAAAAATATTAAATTATTTATTTCAAAATATTTAGGAAATTTTGTTATTTTTTTATTACATAATGATTTTTCTTTTAACCTAAAATATCCTCATATTTAATTGAAGGTTAGCCAACCATATAACCTATTATTACTAATTTATTTAACAAACCACATAAATGCTGTCGCTACTCCCTGCCAAGTAATTAGTAACATTGTAAACGGTATAAATATTTCGTACATTTGTCATGTTAACAGTGTATTAATATCTTGAATATAATTTACAGTTGATGGCCGTTTACCATTAAATTTTATTTTAGTTATAAAAGTTCTTGACTAATTTTTATTCAATTTATCTTCTTTAGTATTTAATTTATTTATATAATAAGAAGGTACTAAGGAATTCTAGAAATGATATCATCAACTAATGATCCTACCAATATTAACCTTATAAGTTTCGACTTTTACCACCTGTGGCTATATATTCAAGCAAAAAGTTTTTACTTTTAATCACCTTTAAAACACGATTTTTGTTATTTATTGCCTATACTTTTTACAATATACCATATTTTGAAATCTTACAATCAAGAATCATTATTCAAATCATAGTTGCTGATTTCGAAAAAAAATCTTCATAATTTTTTTAAATATTAACGTTTAATGGAAAATGCTGTTCAATAAAATTCAAGCTATTGTTTCTTATAATCACTTCAAGAAATTAAAAGGGAATGATAATAATTGATTAACCAAGAACAATAGGTAATTTAAAATCAAATTTTTGTCGTAGTCACTTAATTATACTGAATTCCATTGGATTTAATATACCCAGTAGGCATAATTTATTAAAATGATGTAAACACGAAAATGTCAAAGCATTTTCAGAAATTTGTTTGTTAAATTGCAAATGTCAGGGAATGATCATGCACGTAAACCCTTAAATGGGTTAATATTGAATGAAAATAACGACCTGATATATGTGAATATGTTTTAAGGGCACGTTACGTTATTTCAAACAATGGATACATATTACATATTAAAATTTAATTATAGGTAAGGTTCTTCGGGAAAATTATTTTTCCAAGGAAAATTTTTTTGCACCCTTATTAAGTAAAACTTTACTCTAATAGAAAACGTTGCGATATATTTATAGATTGGGAAAACTCAACCACGAAGAACCTTGTTTGTGGCTTAAAATTAGGTATAGTTATATGGGTATACAGGGAAAAAATATTTTTTCATATTTGCAATAGATGGCGCTGTAAAAAAATCAATTTTGTTCGATTTTTCTTCTGTATACGATTCTGCAATAATTTTTCTATAAAAATTTTACTATTTTTGGTAATAATTATCCTATTAAATTTTTACCTGCCAGCATTAAATCCTTTAATTTAAAGGATTATTGTACTATTTTTAATAAAAATACCTCATTTTAAATTAAAAAAAAACATTATTTTGTCAATTAATTAATTTAATCCTAATTGGGGTATAAAAATGGTATTTAGTTATAAATAATAATTAATATTGAGGTATAAAGAAACTATTTATACATAGTTTAGCATTACTTAATCAATTTAGTTCGAAGATTAATTTGCAAACAAAAAGACCTCCTTTCGTTAAGCAGTTATTCATAATGGATTTTTAACAGTGGAAGAAAAAATAGAAACGATTTTGATTTATGGAGGACCAGGCAGGAATCTTGATGATGCCGTTAATATCTA